TATTCTGCGCCTTGGAAGGTTTCATTACTTTTCTTTTTTTCGTTCAATTATTGTTTTTTTTTTTGTTTTTGTTTTTGATGATAATTTTGTGGTGCATATTATCATATGTATACCGGTTTCAGTTATGTTATGCGTTGCATGCCACATTCTTTTATTTTATGCATTGTTGTTATTATTATTATTACACTGTGATTTTATGCAAATGCAATATGGGTATGTCGAATGCGTGAGGACAAAAAAACAAGAAGAATCGCACATATAAAAAAATAAAACTATACCAAAAATGCATGAAATGGTAGAGAAAAAATTCACTGAAAAAGGATTCTACACCGCCGCCGCAGACCAATGCCGAAAAGATGTAGTGTATGGTGCGTAGTACAGAACTTGTGGGGGATATGTGTTATGTCGTCAACTCATTTGCAAGCGACATTTAATTAAGAAATTAACTTGGCAAATTTATGCGCAACACACAGAGCGAGTGAACTACAGACGAAGCGCGATGAAGCGAGTTTCAGAATACTCCATCGTCGAAATGGCGCAGCGCGGGCGGGCGGAGAACGCTTGCGACGAAAAAATTACTCAAATTACCTGTACGAAAAATAGGTGCCGGTTTATTACGGGTATTGAGTACAATGAAAAAAAAAAAATAAAATAAAATAAAATTCCGAAGAAAGCATCGCCAACCGCAAATTCAAGCTCATCGGCATTCACACATCGTTTTTTTTTTATCTTCATCTTATGTTATAAAATTATAAAATGTTTTTGGAAGGTTTATGAGGACAGTTTAAAAATAGCGCAATCGAATATGTGAAGGCGTCTCGGTGGCGAAAAGGTTTTTTTTTCTCTTTTTTGTAAATTTCTTGCTAAGCAAAAAATTTGTAATTCGACACTTTTGCGCTGTGGCACAGGCAGCAGCTACACAATTTCGTTGTGTTCAAGGGAAAGGAATAAAGCAGATTTCTGAAAAAAAAAAAATATGTGTGAAAAGGATTCCCTTAATTTTTTTGGCATGCGTTGCCCGCTACTATGTATGCCACTTAACCCTGTCGGCGGTGTGGTTGCGCGAAATGAAGGGGAGAAAAATATAAAAAAATGCAAAATGCAAAAAACAATAAAATATGGCTTTGAATAACAGTACTACAAAAAATGACCACTGTAGCGTGTGGTACGTTTCGTAAGGTAGTAAAAAAAATTACCTTTTTCATAGTTCTCGCATTGGTGTGTCTTATAAACCGCAGGGGTTCGAAATATTCGATTTAATCCTATGAAGAAATGACGGCAAAGTTTGCTTTGCTTTTGTTATATGTTGTTTTTTTAATTTAATTTTACTAACTTTGCTTCGCTGGAATTTGCTTGAGCCAATGCTCCAAAAAAAGCTAAACCTTTTCTGTACGATCAGCTAAGGTTTTGAATATCATAGATCCAGCGTTTGGCCATCAAATTAAGTAGAGATTCCATATTTTATGCCGTTCTTGTTCTTATATATTCTTTGCCCTAAATCAAAGACACTTTTTTTGATGCTTCCTATTCCACGCGACTAACTTTCAACCAACCGTTGGTTCGTTTATTGCCACACAAAATTTGACTGCCGTTTTGACGATTATTTGTCGGCACTTTGTACTTTACTTCTTATTAAATGCACTCGTTTTATTTTTTGTTGTTTTATGTTAAAAAGTATAAAATTTCATTATTGCCACTGTTTTAATTTGGCAAACGCTTGATTTAGTCACGTGTTAGTCGAAAGGGCAATCGAATTTCAAAGGTAAAGATTTCGGGAGAAAAAATTACAAAATAAAAAGCAGCGAAAATAAGGGAAAGAAACCGTATTAATAAAAAAAAATCCAAAATGATGTCCACCCAGTACACAGGATAAAAATTCAGTGAAACGGGCTTACGGAAGAAGTATGGGTATCAAATTAAAGGGAAAATTCTGTCGAATTTTAACAGCTTTAATTTTTTTTTATGCATAAGGACTGGTAAGTATTGAAAATGTGTTTTTAAAATTTTATCCTTGAAATTTCGCAATATTTGTTTTTGAAAAAACTATATGTTAGGGACTTATATAAATTCGATAACATCCTCGAATTTTGTCCTTCTAACATTATCAGCTTAAAAAATTACCTATTCGTCCTTGTGAATCCAAAAAATTAAATTTTTTTTTCTTAATTCTAAAGAAATTTCATCTTTCATTTGGTACCCATATTTTTATTCTACATTGCATTGAATTTTTGAAGCAATTTTTGGAATTCAAATTTTGGCGTCAGAGAGATAAAATAAAAACGCCACTTTAAATAAAAAATTAGGTTTCAAACCCATTCAGAGANATATGTTAGGGACTTATATAAATTCGATAACATCCTCGAATTTTGTCCTTCTAACATTATCAGCTTAAAAAATTACCTATTCGTCCTTGTGAATCCAAAAAATTAAATTTTTTTTTCTTAATTCTAAAGAAATTTCATCTTTCATTTGGTACCCATATTTTTATTCTACATTGCATTGAATTTTTGAAGCAATTTTTGGAATTCAAATTTTGGCGTCAGAGAGATAAAATAAAAACGCCACTTTAAATAAAAAATTAGGTTTCAAACCCATTCAGAGATATTATTTATTTTATGGTAGGAGAGATAGAAGCAATTTTTTCAATTTAAGTTGCTGAAAATTAATGAATATCGAAATCCCGGGATTCTGATAACGACATCCCGAAAATTCCGGGATCGTAAAAAGCGAAAAAATTCACATCCTTAGCAGGGACGGAGAATGTGTTCTCACAATAAGCGAAACAACTGGGGGTGACACTGGATAAAATACTTAACTGGAACTCACACCTCGCAACGGATACCACTAAGGCAGTTTATGTTTGTCAAAGGCTTTATTGTTAAACATACGAAATATTTCCAAAATTGACGTACTCGCCCTGCAAATGTAAAACCGATTATACCATACGCAGCACTTGTCTGATGGCCAACAGCTAGAGAAAAAACTTCCGGCGTCACTCTGGATAAGCTCCACCGTGTAGCCATGCACACATGTCCAACAGAGGCACTCTATCATAGGCATACCGCCTTTAGCTATGGTGATTGAAAAAGGCTGGTTGAAATGTCCTGTGAGTGCCGCGACTAAGCAGCATGAACAGTAGAGATTTCAGGCGCCATCAGAGTATCTTAGAACCGATATGTTTTTGAAGGATTTTTCGCCAGCCCTTGTCAAATTTGGTTTGGAGACAAGCCGGTTTCGGCGATGTGTCATCTTCAGTGTCATTTTCGTTTCGTTCGGAAACAACAACAACCAAAAAGCAAATATCACAGCCACAGTGCCATTCTCTTTCAAGTCCTACAAGGTTAGAATTTCTGAAAGGGACTCTTGTGAATAAGTGAATAATCCGAAGCTTGGTAGACTGATGGATCCAAATTTAATGATGCTAGTTTTCAGGAAGGCGTATATGGGCCAAGGTTACAGAAAAGCGTTACATACATATTACATAGCGTAAAATTTCACAACTGAAATCTGTGCCCGTGAAAGTTTTCGTGGAAGGATTAATAGAGCCACTATGCCGATTACCAAGATTACCTCTATGTACAGCACTCAGCTTTTCTATGGTCCATACAAGCGATAGACGGCAGATTAGCTAAAGAGGAGCAGCACTCTTTGGTTGTAGCCCACTAGCGTGGTCGCGCACGTATAAGTGAAGTAGTCTTTGACTTATACACACTGAAAAATTAATATCGTCTTAATCTAACATCTGAAATTATAGCACAGTCCAAAGTACTTCACTTTATAAATTTTCTAAGCTTGAAGTAAACTCTTAAGTTGTAGAACAATAAATCTAACTAAATTGCAACTGTATTCAATCCCTGTGTTAAAGCCGTTCTCCTGGATGTTTCTTTATCATTTTCGATATAGAACTACTTAATAGAGAAAAGTTTTCAAGACAAAAAGTACTACGGTCGAGCTGAAGCCTAAGTGGCAATCTGCAAAAGATTTTTTAAATGTTTCTTCATTCAAAATTCTTTCACAAAGGACAAAAGTCCGAAATCGAAAACTACAGAACAATGCTAATGGGCCATATAGTTTCAATAAATCGAAATAAGCAATCCTTCGCTTGAGTTAATCAATAATGAATTAGTTGGAATGTGGCGTAACATTCGAGACACAACACACCAAGCAGACAGACAATCAGTCTAACTATCTATGTGTGTGTGCTGGTCCAGAAGCCAGCGCAAGCGATTTTCAATGAATACAAAATCCATGGATGTATGTAAAATCAATGTTGCACTCTGTTTGAAACTGTGGCAACGAAATGGCAACCAGAACGTCATAAAGCCGGACTCCAAACGAAATCAAAGGGTCACAATGCTTAGCTCGAGCTGTATTTGCGCTATGCGTCCTGTAGCCACACGCCAAGGCATAAAAAATGTTTCATAATGAACTAACCGAGAACATTTGGTGTTGCAGCAGCGGCATCAGGAACGCATGCGCTTGCCGCGCTGCCTCATTGGCTCATTTTTATGCTGCCCTGTTGTCTTCTGCTACAGCTGATAATGCCATGAAAAAGCCGCAGACAGGTTATTTGCGTGGTTTGCGATTTCTTATTAACGTTATGGTTTTTTCTTTTTACTTTATTTTCAGTCTGATGTAGACATAAAAGCACACCGACTAACGCCAGACAATCGTGGGTAACTTCATTCAAGGGATATCGTTTATGTACATACATACTTTGGCGGCTGACGATATTGGCAGAGAAGAACCATTGGCAAGGGCTTGACTGTAGTATGAAGAAAGATGGGAGGATTGCAAAAGCAGAAATGCATTAAGACTAAAGCAATTATGGTGTGGAGAAAACTCTGCGCAACTAAGATAAGCTCAGAAAGTGTTTCAAGAGATTTATACTATGTATTTACCATTTTACATTATCATCACATTAGAAAATCTAACTACTTCCGAAAGCCATGAAGACATTTCAAAAACTTAATATTTGCTTTGATGTTGTTTAAGCTTACCTTTGGCTGCTAAACATATGAAGGCCTGCGCATGTTGTCTTACTTTTTCGAGACTCAAATCAGGACATTCTTTACTCTTAATTGGCAGGCGGATAAGTAATAGTTCTAGAAAATCCAAAGGCGTAACAGACGACAAGTCCCAGCCAAGTCGACTCAGCACAAAAAGTTCCCATTTCTGCAATAGACAAAAAAAAAGAGAGAAAAAATTATTAGAGCACATTTTCGAAAATTTATAATTTACATACATTTATAAAAATTAATGGATTCAATTCCATCATACTTAAACTTAAATAAAAAATAAAAAATTTCGTCTGTCGAAAATAAAGTATACAAATAAATAAATAAAAACATTGCAAAATAAACACTAAAAAATTTATAAAAAATAGCACAAAAAATAAGTAAAAATTATATGTATTTAAAACAAAAATAATTAAAAAAAACATCAATTAAAATATATATAATTAAAAAATAGAAAAAATAAGAAACCAAAAAAAAACAAAAAAAACAATAAAAACAAAAACAAAAAAAAATAATTAAAAATAATAATAAAAATAAAATATATAAAAATCGAACAAAATTTGCAAACTAAACGAAAACTAAGACTTAACAAAAAATAAAAATACTAACAAAAATATAAGAATAACTAAAAATAGATTTCAAGTAAAATTGTTATTAAAAAAATAAGCTGATAAAACAGCAAAAATGAAAAATAATTTTAATTATATTAAAAAGGCAAAAAAATATATTTAAAAAAAACATTAAAAAATTAAAATATATAAATTTTCAATAAATTTTTAAAAATTAATTTAAAACAATATTCCAAAAAATTAACAACAAACAAAAGTAAGAAAAATAAATAAATAAAAAATTAAAAAATCAACAAAAATAAATAAAAACTTGAAAAATATTTAAATTACATATATAAAAAATATACATATAAACAATATAAATTACAAAATATTCACATAAACAATATAAATTACAAAATTCAAAGAAAACTAAAATAATGTAATGTGTATTCAAAGTATGGGTCCAAATAGAAAGTTATCTGCGGTAATTCCAATCAGGGAGGAATCGGTAGTAGTGAAATTTAATGTGCAGCTCCATGACAAAATAGATGGAGGAATATTTTTCGTGAAACCCTGCCCTCAGGAGCATATTTCGTTTAAAAAGACTACTAAGTTGTCTTCCTAGCTGAGTTTTTATCTATTATGAGGCTTTATTATAGCCGGTGCCGGTATTACAGAAAAGCTATAATTGCACCTATGCGTTTCTTAACATTTAATAACTAAAAAAAACTGTACTGGATTGTCGCCGACCTCTTCAGCACAGTCTTAATAAAATGTGAGTGCTCACTCAAAAAATATATGGCAGACAAATTTGCAAGGAAGGGACAGAAACAAGAAGATTCTTCTGGAAAACAATACACTGGCATGTCTATTGCCACTTGTAAGCTGTTGTTGAAATAATTTTTCGCTGTTCCTGAAAATGAGAGATGGATAGAAGTTACGAACTGTCTGATTTTTAGGCAAGCTTGGCATAGGTGGGATTAAAGAAGGCCTCGGAGCTAATATACGTATTTCCCAGAAAGAGAAAATATATTTTCACGCCGTTGGTGGTGAAAGGCCATTTCCTTCAATGCAGAACATGCAATATTTATGAAGTGAAAATGGCAGTGCTGCTCTGCTTCTCTCCTGGAATGCCTCGAGATGAGATAGCAACTTCTGGGGTCGCTTTTTTTGACGACCTGCGTGAACCTGCGTGAAGTTGCGGATATAAGCCTAAGGTGCCAGAGGAGATTGGTAAGCAAGGGGGAGTAAAAATGTAGTGCTAGCCAAACGGACCTTCCCGCCAAAATAAAAATAAAATTAAATTGAATTAAAATAAGTAGATATTCTAAATTCCCGTAGAAACGTAAGAAATCCAACAAAAAAAAAAACAAATGAAGAACAACGAATTATTGAAAACAATTAAATAATTATGCGTAGTAAAGCTATGTATGTAATCGCTTCAAACTATTCAATTTTGTTGCAAAGCCGATAGATATTTCAGTAGGTTAATGAGTTATGGCTATGTGTGTAGCTTGGTAATTGAGGAAGTCATTACAATGGAAATCGCAAAAGGTAATTTATTAACTTGGCACGGCGAAAAAACCAAAGCCAAATGCTAAATGCAATGAAAAATAATCACCAAATGACTAAGTCATGTCTGTTTTATGCTCAGCGACTGCAATATTTAACAATTAGAACTTGCAATAAATTTTCTTATGTTTTTTTTTTACTCAAAGAATTTCCATAGAAAAAACCTACTATAAACGTTTTTCAAAATATGCTGACTTCACAGTACGTATGTATACATTTTTTACTTAATAAATACAATTTTTTTTTTCGCTGGCCACACCACCAGCAAGCAGCCAGCCACCAATTGGCAACCGGCACTTGACAAACGACGGAGGAGACAGGCATTTATGCGCATAATTTCTATACAATATATACACAAATTACCCACTTCCCTCGCAGTTTTCCCCGCAATCTATATTACAGACGTAGGAAAATATATGCAACAGAAGACAACAAAAAAAAAAACAAAGTTTGAATTGTTAATTACAACTGATAAGCGATGGGGGGCATTGCGTATGCGCAGCTCCTTTAAGCTTTTTTCCATAATTCTGCAACTTTTTTGTTAGCACTTTTTGCTTTGTTGCTCGATGCCACTTAAATGCAACTTAATATTGGTTGACGACGAGGGTTTTTCTGCAGTTTGTCGCAGCGTATATTGGGGGAAAAACCCAAATTGCTTGCGCCACCGTCAGATACCGCGTGGCAACTTTTATGTGAGCATTTAAATTGGCATTAAGGTTATCGGTGGTGGTTATTATATATTTATTATTAGTTAAAATTTCCAATTTTTTTTTATTATTATCTACTATTACCAGTTATTCTTGCAGTTCTCATTTACAAGTGGCGTTAGCGATAATAATACTTTGGCCGAAACTTGGTGGCGTTGATAGTCTCTAGTTGTTATGATGGTGGCTGCGGTGTTGGTGGTGGTGGTGGTCTTGTTGGCTGGTGTAATTTTCGCAGCGGGAAAATTAGTGGCGTAGCAAAATTCTAAAATTAGGTTAGTAGAATGTGCATATGTATGTATGTACGTATGTACATTGGTGCCACAAAATGTTGCATATTTATTATTAATAATTCGTTGCAACAGAATGTTGCAATAACGGTGGCCTTATCGGTGCACTACTTATTATGTAGAGCGGCACGAAAAACAAGTAAAAGTTTTGCGATACTAAAAAATTACAATTAACTATGGTGAAATGAATATGCAGAACTTAACAAAAATGCGAAAAAATGTGCCATTAAACTTTTTTAAATTTCTTAACTTTTTTAATAAATTGCAATTTTTTGGAGGACTAACTTAATTGTGAAAAACAAAAAACTGAAAAATATTTCTCACACATATTAAATACAGTGGTGAAAAAAATAAATAGGGACACGACATTTTTACAAATTTTTCCCATATTTATTTTTTTTTTAATATTTCTTATTTTTTACAAAATATAGCTCATTATCTAAAAAAAAACATATAAGTTCATATTTCAAACTTTTTTTTCAAAAATGATAAAAATTTATATAAATTTTCAACCTTTTAATCAGATTTTGCAGCATTTTTGAGTATGCAGTTTCAAAGCCCATTTAATTTTAGTACAAAAACAGTGTAAGATTTAAGTTCCGCAAAAATTGCGTTGATTTTTGATAATTTTTTTCTGAATGAATTACGTACTTTTCTCCAGAAAAGGGATTTCTTAAACAAACTTAAACATCGGTTTGTTTGATCGATTGCAGCGTGATGCCAGCTCAGCTCAATAAAAAATTTTCCAAACAATGCCACTCTGCAACTTTGTAAAATTTGATAGATCGATCACAGAGTGGTGTTGTCTAGAAATTATTATCGAGAATGAATCGAATGGATCGAACGCCATAAGACAGAACAGATAATTTTTGATATCTTTTCGGGTTCTCAATAACTAAAAAAAAAAGCATATGTGAAGTGCAGAACGAAATCGTATTCAAATGAAAACATCGCCAAAAATACATTTGTTTGAAACCAAAAGGTCGTTGACGCCAATTCATATGTGCTTTAGTTTGAAACAACGAAGCTATGGTTTAGTTTTTTTTCAGTGTAATACCGCACTTTATGACAAATGAAGCTCCAGGTATTAGTTTGTCCTAAGGCGCCCAACCCACAGGGTATTGCTTTGACAACTTTCTAAAAAACACGTTGTGTCCGGAACTCCAATAACCGAACCACAATAAAAAAATAATGCAGTCGACACTTGCGTCATTGCTTCTTCCGGGATCACTAACTCCAGTGATAGCAAGGTCAATTAAGCAATTAGAACTGCTTCCGGCGTTTTGTTAATGGCGCTGAGCAAAAACTTGTGAAGTGGGCCACCATTTTTTCGCTGGAACTGTCAGAAACTTTGAGAGCTGGATTCACCATCAGTTGAACGTAGTGGTCTACCTTCATCTTCTTATGGAAAGTTACGTCTAGACATAACAGTTTACGCTTATAACCACCAGAATGCTGAGAACTTCCCATTTGTCATGCCCGCGATTTGCGACATTAATACATTTTAGTCAGAATTTTTCTTGGACGTCCCGGATATTTTTTCCATTTCTGTAGCGCGTGTGAGCGAAGTCTTTCAATTCCAGTGTAGCACTACCAAAAATCGCAAGAGAGGCGAGGATATAACTCCCCGAGGACATTCTCTTCAATTCTTCTTCTTCTCCTTCTTTTTTCTTCTTCTTCTTTTTATTTTTCTTCTTGTTTTTATTTTTCTTCTTCTTTTTATTTTTCTTCTTCCTCTTTTTCTTCTCCTTCTTCTTCTTCCTCTTTTTCTTCTCCTTCTTCTTCTTCTCCTTCTTCTTCTCTTTCTTCTTCTTTATTCTTCCTCTTCTTTTTTATTCTTCCTCTTCTTTTTTCTTCTTCTTCTTCCTTTTTCTTCTTCTTCTTCTTTATTCTTCCTCTTCTCCTTTTTTCTTCTTTTTCTTCCTTTTGGTTCTTCTTCTTCTTTCTTCTTCTACTTTTTTCTTCTTTTTTCTTCATCTTCGTTTTTCTTCTTCTTTTTTTTCTTATTCTTCTTATTCTTCTTCTTCCTCTTCTTTTTTT